CTATAATTTATTTCCCAAAAAAAAAAATATATATATATATATATATATATATATATACTGACTCCAGGCTTTTGAATAGTATAGTGTATAATGTTACAAAAGCTTTTTATTTCAGATAAATGCTGATCTTTGGATCTTTCTATTCATCAAAGAATCCTGGGAAAATGTAGTCAACTGTTTTAAATATTGATAATGATAATACAAAAATGTTTCTTGAACAGCAATTCAGCATATTAGAATGATTTCTGGAGGATCATGTGACACTGAAGACTGGAGTAATGATGCTGACAATTCAGCTTTGATCACAGAAAATAAATAACGGTTTAAAATATATTCAAATAGAAAGCATTTATTTTAAATAGTAAAAAATACTTCACAATATTACTGCTTTTGCTGTATTTTGGATCAAATAAATGCAGGCTTGGTGAGCAATAGAGAATGAGCAGAAGAGAATTATTTGAAAAAAAAAAAAAAAAACACACACACACACATTCAAAATCATATACTGTTCAAAAACTTTTGACTGTATTTCAGATAGCCTAGGCAGAATTTATCATTTCCGTGTAGTTTAAGTGCTAAAATAACTAATAATAAAACTTAATAGAAACTCATATAGCCAAGTTTAAAAATAAATGAATTAATGAATAAATTAATGAATAAATTAATGAAACTACTAAATATTGCAAAAATAAAATCCTCAAAACATTCACAAAATCAAAATATTGTCAAATATTAATTCAAAATATTAACAAAAATTATAATAGTAAATCAGTGAAACAAATAAAAACACTGGTTTGCATTTATTTTAACTGCTTGGAAAAGAGTAACCAGCACATTCTTCAAAATGTCATCGATTATGTTTTACGGAAGAAATAGAGACAAACCAATTAGCAGCTACTATGCACGAAGATAAGTCAAAGCATTTTTGAGAGAACTATTGCTTTAAGACTGCAGTTTGCCTGTTTTTGGTATAGAAAGCCATTTCTCCAGAGCTCCCTGACAAATCAATGCTATCTCACTCATCCGGCCAGTCTCTCCCTCTCCTACTGAAGCGCTTCCTCCCCTGGTGTTTATCATCTCCAAGACCTGAGCATATCATTCTTCGTATAAAAGGCCTATTCACACGCACCAGTGTAAACACCGCAAGCCTGCCAGTGGGCTTCAGTTCAGATATGCAGGCGGCGATGTGTTCTTGTGTACGTCCTATTTATATTCTTCAACAAGTTGCTGCACACCGTGGTTTGAACCAGAAAAAAAACAGTCAAATGCTGCTATGTATTAAGTCAAAGATCTGCTGCTCTCAGCAAAGCCATTTCATGAGTGGTTTTGAGTTAGCTCATGACAGATGACTTTGGAAATGTCAGGCACTGTTTTGAGATATGAGTCACCAATGTTCCATTGTGTTTTATAACCCGTTGCATGACTTATGTTTATACTTGTGTAGATATAAAACAGCGTATTTGACTTTTCCCTTCTTCCCGTCTCTGTCAGAAACACGACGCCCAGTTCACAGTGATTCAGCTGGTGGGCATGCTACGTGGCATCGCATCTGGTATGAAGTATCTGTCGGATATGGGTTACGTGCACAGAGATTTGGCTGCTCGGAACATCCTGGTCAACAGCAACCTGGTGTGTAAAGTGTCAGACTTCGGCTTGTCCAGAGTGCTGGAGGACGACCCGGAAGCCGCCTACACCACGAGAGTAAGTCAACACCAACACGAGCATCTGAGACTGGCGATGTCCATGCTGACTTTGTCATACAGCACAGAGTTAAATGGGCTTAATTAGGTCAGAAGAACTTCAGAAGGAATTTGAAAGAAAGTGCTATAAAAATTAATTTTACATAATAATAGCAATTATTATGCCTCGTATAAAAACATAAATGATTTGTATACTACTCACATATTTTAATCAGCTCAGAAGTCAAATTAAATTGCAAGAACAACTATTACCCACTGACATAAAATGGATTAATATGCTTTATCTGATATCATATACCATAATACTTAAACTTGACATTTTCAAATGATATGTCTACTGAATTTATTTGTCTACCGAAGCTGATTTGAAGTTGAGAGGATAGAAGGATGTACATGTACACTGCCATGCAAAACTTTGGTACCTGTATTTTTTTTACAGTAAGGACAGTGATATTGTGAAATATTATTACATTTTAAAATAACAGTTTTCTTTTGAAACATAAGTAATTCTATTTTAATTTAGAATTGATAATAATTATATATTGATATAATTAATATAATATATTTAATTCTCTATTAATATATTTTATATACTGTATTTTAATTTTATAGTTTTGAAAAAAA